ATTTGTCCCAAATCAACATTTTTAAGCAGTTGGGATTTTTGGCTATTCTAATATTTCATGATGCCCTCTACATGCTTACCAAAGTTTGCGACACAAAAGTGCATCCTTCATTATGCAAGCTAATGACACTAAGTCGTAAATGTGCAACGAATCATTTTTTTCTCTCTTTTGACCGGAATTCGTATTCTCGTTGATTTTAAACGTGGGAAACAATGTTGCAACCTGACGCAACATTTGTCTTCACACATCATCTCAATAAAGATCAGTCATTGCAAAAATGTTTCACAAACATGAATCTGGGACTGAGAAACATTTCCAATTTTGTTCAGAAATACTTGGAAAGTTTCTTGACTCTCCAAAGACTTTGTACACAACTGCTGAAGTAGCGTCTGGATACTGCATTCTTTTCTACACATACGTTATATTTAGATTTCTGTCTCCTCGATTTGCGTTTGGATGAAGTGACAAATCTGTTTCGTGAAATCGCCTGCAGGTTGAGATTGAGTGACTGGATACTAGTTTGGGGCTAATGCCAAAATCTTGACCATACATACAACGGACAAAAATAGGGGATGATGTTTTACCTTGTAGCCGTCGTTGGCAATGAGCTACAGCAGGCTGAACGATTCGCCAGACGTCTCCATCTTAAGGTACAACTCCCAGGCTAGTCTGGCCTTACGATTCACGATGTCTGAACAACGAAAACAACACAAAGAAAGGTTATAAATACATAGGATACTGCTGTAAGAAAACACATTGGGGTCCACAAAAGATGTTCGGTTCAGTGGATGCTCGTTTCAGCAATTTTCGGCCAGCAATGCTCAGTGTAACTGTGTACAATATTTGGGAGCCAAGAGGGATGTTCAATGTAGCAAATTTCTGTCGTACAATCTGCTTAAAATGTGACAAAACAAATCCAACATGGCAAGTATATGATTAACATGTGATGTTTACACGTTTAAACAAAAAAACTTTTAAATCTGCTTACAATTTGTTCAAAACATTTAAACTAAACCCGAATTATACAAACGGAACCTCCGTTCACGCGATCTTCCTTGGAGATAACCCAAATAGCACAAATAATTAACACAGTTTTCAAACCTACTTAATGTAAAAAACCTTAGAAGCACTGTAGAACTTGATTACATTTGGGGAACACGTAGTTACATTTTTACTTTATCAACGACTGCCTGCTATTTACTATGTCAACCTTTGTTGATTTACCATGTCAATCACGCCGGTCTGCAGATCAGACATAATGGGTAGGCAAAAGCCACTGTCAATGGCTAAACGTTTAAAACGGTTCTAAAAATATTTGCTTAACGTTTACACAATGAAAAGCAAAGTCACATCCTTAATATACGATCAGGGCGATGATTGCATGCTGGTTATGTCATTGTTAGAGACCCTTCAGTCTACCTCACACATGGGCAACATGTGCATCTCCCTAATGCCACTCTGGATTTTCCAGCAGTACATGAAATGCATGCACACGACGTGTCGTGACTTTAGTTGGACATTTGGTTGTGCAGTCACAATTGAGAGTGGTCAAATATGAGTTGAGGCTTAACAGGTGGATTCATTCTCATAATTAGCAACTTGGAAGTTGGAAGAGGAAACGTCATTCACAATTGACGGTAATACTCACAGCATCTTGCCAACCAGAGACACGTGTAGTCATTCTTGATCTTCTCACTCAGAAAGATCCCCATCCGGGTTTTAGACTTGTTTTTTTTTATGCCTATTCGCCCTGAACAAGGCTAAAAGCCACTCAAGATATACAGGGCTACAAGTCGGAGCAAAGCAGCTAAATCAACCACACCATCTCTGCCCTCATAGGCACCCACTTATAAGCCATCAGTGTGGGGGTTTGGTCAGTATCAAATGAGGGCAATAATGCTCATTGTGATTTTTGGCAAGGTATGCACCCCTCTTGTCAGAAAATATGTGACAGCATTGCAGCGGTGGCAGCTTTATGGGTGATATCACTTTTTTTCCTTTTTTTAAATGGCAGCCAAAACATGCCTGTTACCACATACAATTGATCCGGTTCAAGCATATTGACGGCAATTTTGAAAACACAAATCAAAAGTGATAACACTGCCACCACTCACACTGCAAAGCTATCACACATTCTCCAACTCTAGATGTGCCTTTCAAAAAAATGCTATGAGCATTGCTCTTTTCAATCGTCTGGTCCAGTTGCTGATAGTGCAATTCGGTTTTGGGCGTATTGGCTTCGATAACGCACTGGTATGGAATACAAACGCAGATATGTAAATAGACGTACAAAATACATACAATATTTCTAGCTCTCCATAGAACCACAGAACGCATCCATGTTTGTGTACAAACATGGATGCGTCCATTAGGCATTACTGACTTTGTACATCGACTTAGCACTTTAGTAATTTAATATAGCTCTATGCTCTTCTTAATCAACAGTATCATGTTCCAATATTATATTTTTGGAAAATCCCTTTGCAAGCAGGGGTTTTTGGAATGTACAAATTTAAACAATCTCAAGACTAGGATAGGGACCACCTCAGGAAACTGGTACCCTGTTGTCCTTGGCCCACTTCTTCATGACACGGATGATGTATTCCACCTGTGGGTTACCGGTGTTGCGCAAGATTTGGAGGATGTCTCGCAGTGTTTCTCTGTAGAGGGAAAAAAATGACAAAAATCTAGTGGCTTGAACTTCACTGGGTTTTGTGCACATTAATCTGAATTAACAAGATGGACTTTGCGTCGGGGTGATGTAAATTAATCAGTATTAGAATTTGCCCTTCACCGATGTAAAAACACTGTATACTCAGTGTGTTACCTCCCGAGTGAATGTTGGAAAAATAATAAATTGGGTGGGATTCGAACCCAGGACTCGACCAACGAGCTTGCAGGATAGGTTGACTGGCCAGCCAACCGATTCCGTTAGCTCGGTGGTCCAGTGGTAAGACTACTGCACTAGAAAGCAGGAGGTTATGGGTTCAAGTCCCAACCGAGTGATTTTTTCCAAATTTCACTCGGGAGGTAACGCACTGAGTATACAGTGTTTATACGTCAGTGAAGGGCAAAACCTAATAGTGAAAATGAAAGCTGTTTTAGAATATGGGGACAAAGGAGTCCATAAAAATCAATGAAGTTGAACTAGAGGGCTAAGAAGTTGAGAAGTATTCATGAAAATTTGTAATAAAAAGCCGTATCCTCTCTGAGTGATCCCTGTTTGATATTTGCCAGGTCTGCATCGTGACTTTGGGCGTGATCCCTGGCTGCATGGCATATGCAAGTTGAGGGCTTCTGACTAGCGCCCCTTTGACAGAATTAGGGAACCGCCAACATTGGGCTGGATAGCTCAGTTGGTAGAGCACCGGAGTGATATGTCAGCCTGAGTGCACACTGTTTGATAGATGTAGTGTGGTCACCTGACCATAAGTTGATCTGATTGGTCAGTGTGCACTGCTGATTGACAGAGATGACACCCACCTTGGTTCATGACCAGCTATGATCTGCTGGAATGCGCCCACGCACGCCCCTCGCTTGCCTTCCCAGTATTCAGGATTGGGGTCCAATCTTTCCAGGACATCGAAAGCCTTGGTCGCATAGTAGAACTGGCCATCTACCGACAGAAAAGATGAGATTTGAGGATCGAGAGACCGTGACAATTATATTTTGAAGTCGAGCAAAAAAAATCAGAATTCCGAATGACAAACCTGAACTTTTCGATCATATCGTCACAGTGTTGACAAAGTGATGAATTTGTCCCAAATCAATATTTTTAAGCAGTTTGGGATTTTTGGCTATTCTAATATTTTATGATGCCCTCTACATGCTTACCAAAGTTTGTGACACAAAAGTGCATCCTTCTTTATTCAAGCTAATGACACAAAGTCGTAAATGTGCAACAAATCTTTCTTTTTTTCTTTTTTGACGGGGGTTCGTATTCTCGTTGATTTTACACGTGAAAACAATGTTGCAATCAGACGCCACTTTTGTCTTCACACATCATCTCAATAAAGATCAGTCATTGCAAAAATGTTTCACAAACATGAATCTGGGACTGAGAAACATTTCCAACTTTGTTCAGAAATACTTGGAAAGTTTTCTTGACTCGCCATAGACTTTGTACACAACTGCTGAAGTAGTGTCTGGATACTGCATTCTTTTCTACACATGCGTTATATTTAGATTTATGTCTCCTCTACGATTTGCGTTTGGACGAAGTGACAAATCTGTTTCGTGAAATCGGCTGCAGGTTGAGATTGAGTGACTGGATACTAATTTGGGGCTAATGCCAAAATCTTGACCAAACATACAACAGACTAAAATAGGGGATGATGTTTTACCTTGTAGCCGTCGTTGGCAATGAGCTACAGCAGGCTGAACGATTCGCCAGACGTCTCCATCTTAAGGTACAACTCCCAGGCTAGTCTGGCCTTACGATTCACGATGTCACGCCCCTACGAAATACTCTTATAAGAATCTTATAAGAATCTTATAAGAATCTTATACGAATCTTATAAGAATTTTGTAAGAATCTTATAAGAATCTGAGAACCTTCTTATAAGAATCTTATAAGAATCTTATAAGAATCTTATAAGATTCTTATAAGTATTTTATATGCAAATTAGTAAGATCTTATAAGATTCTTATAAGATTCTTATAAGATTCTTATAAGAATCCTGGCGTGGCCTACAAAATACTCTTATAAGAATCTTATAAGAATCTTGTCAGAATCTTATAAAAATCTTATAAGAATATAGTCACAGAATCTTATAAAATCTTATAAAATGTTTAAAATCTTACAAGATGATGTTAAACATCTTATAAAATTTTTAAAATATTGTAATACTTTTCTTATAAACCTACATCATAAATAGACATGCTCGTTACTAAACATCTATGAAAACCCATGACTAACAAAAAAATCTTGTGTTTGCTGATGAAATAAATATTTAAAAAAATGACACCTCAACAATTAATGGATGCCAGGACAGTAAAAGTAGGCTAAAAGAGTTAATTTAATACTTACAGTTTGTTTCAGGACAAAACAACACATGAAACTGATCATATAATTAACAGCTTTCAGAGGAAAAGTTGAAATACAATAATTATTTTCGTTTGGTTTTACCACACGTTAAATAAAGTGATCAGAACCAGTCATCTGATTTATAAAATACAATGTATTCCAAAAAAGGTACTTAACATCTTCCAACATACATACATGTACATGAGTTCGTTTTTGCATTCAGTATGGGATGTTGAACAATAGAGGACAATAGGGTCCCCAATTCCCGAGAGGTCCCATATTTACAATCGTGTACAAAACATGTGGGAGATAGGTCTCCCTGAAAAGTCAGAGTACAAACAAAAAAGAGACAATAGGCGTCCTCGATTGCTGGATACTTAATGTAGTGAAGGGTCTTTGTTCTCTGCGGCATGGACGTCTCCAACATAATACATCAGATCATATGTCCTGGTTTACAGCACGGCAGCAGTGGCCAGCAAAGCGAACTCGTCGTTGAGCAACAATAGCAGAGATGTAGGTGGAATGTCTCCGTAAATCTGTTCTATAGTCCTGTGCTCAAACCATGAGATGTTCTCCACCCTCTTAGAAGCATGGTGTATGTGCCATCAAGGTGATCTTCTTTCTTCATGGTCCAGGTTTCAGCTCCATAGAGAAGAATGCTCTCCACACAGGCTCTGAAGAAGGCCAGCTTTGTTGATTGTGCTATACTTGATTGCCGGATGTTATGAAGCTTGTTACAGGCACTTGCCGGACGTTATGAAGCTTGTTACAGGCACTCCAAGCTATTCCTTTGCGAGTGAAGAAGTCCTTCTTACTGTCGGCAACATAGGACCCAAGGTACCTGAAATCACTGACCTCTTTAAGTTGGGTGCCGTCACTGGTGTATATTGGGTAGTGGCTCTCCTCATTGATGGTCATGTACTCGGTCCTCTTTGCATTAAGAAACAGGCCGACCTTGGCTGCAGCATTCTCGAGAGATGTTAACAGGTCTTGAGCATCACACAGATGATCAGCCGTGAGGGCCAGATCGTCCACGTAGTCAAGATCAGTGAGATGCAGGCTTTGATGATGTCTTGATTTCTTCTGCTTGATGGTTAGACCTTTGTCGTGGATGCAATCCAGACTTTGCGTAAGGATTTCGTCCACCACAATCATGTAATTGCAATTTTGCTCTATCTGAAATGAAAAACAGAATACTTGGAATTAATTAATATATACAAATGTAATGTAAAAACAAGTTTTCATTTTTTTTTTTAGAGTATTAGCTTATGACCAGAAGTTGCTTAATAAACTGAGCGTTAAGCGTCATTAAGTTTAATTAATTTTTTTTTCAATTCCTTTTCCATGCTTAAGTTTTAATTTGTCATTTGAAAGACACCTGATTCATGTAATGCAGTCAAATTAAGCATTAACACATACAGAATTAAATAATGTCCTAATTGTACACGTTGTGTTATACATGCCCATGTACATGTACATGAAGACTTACCAGTTGCAGTGCACAACATTGCAATTGCAAACGGCTTGAGAGCGTTGACTCTTGACAATTCTTGACAGCAATCTTTCCAGAGACTTCCATGCAGACATCGGTCCAGCACACATTTATTTTGGATGTCATGTACAGGTTAAGTGTGTACATGAACAAAAAATCATGTCCAAAGGCCATGTCAGGGAATATATCCACAATTTTGACCCAGTTTTGTACAGTTTTTGTCCTCAGTTGCAAGCCAGTATATGTGCACTCAACACTGCTGCACTTAATACTGACTGCAAATTTCAAATTTCCCACACTGACTGTTTATCTCTGGAATGCAAGGTCACTGTGTCATGTGACCTACTTGTGGCCCATGAGCAGCCAGCTTATGTAACATAATACTTCCTGACAAAGTTTCTTATAGAGACCCCCTGCCAAGTTCTTACTCAAAGGGTTTCTTATAAGAATTCTTTAACATTCTGACTCAAACTTTGGTCTCTTATAAGAATTCCTCAGGAACAATAAGAAGTTATCAGAAGAAATTCTGACTTGAAAATATGTTATAAGAATCTTACCATATTCTTACTCACTTGTAAGAATCTTATAAGATTCTTACTCATTTACAAGAATCTTATAAGATTCTTATAAGAATCTTATAAGATCTTATAAGTTAAAATCGTACGGGCTTCATCCTCAATCCTCCAAAATCCTCATGTGCTTCAATATCATCCTGAATCCTCCAGAATCCTCATGTGATTCAATCAGCATTCATCCTCAATCCTCCAGAATCCTCATTTGATTCAATCACCATTCATCCTCAATCCTCTAGAATCCTCATGTGCTTCGATCACCATTCATCCTCAATATCCTCCAGAATCCTCATTTGATTCAATCACCATTCATCCTCAATCCTCTAGAATCCTCCAAAACCACCAGAAGGATTGTGGAGGAGCGAGGTGGGTTAGGGTTAAAAAATACTCCGGAAAGATTCCATACCTGGAGTTCTGGACATTAAGTGAAATGTCCTTGGTATTTTTTCAGACAGTAGGATGCTGGCAGTGGCAGTAAGCATGTAGGATGGAACGCCGTATTATCGCGGTACTTATCATGTGATCTTGTTTGGAATGGAGATTGCCCGCTAACCTTCCCAAATTGTCCTGTCTCTTAGGTTGTATAACTCTTCCTTTTCAAATGCCTGTGAAAATAGACATGCTCGGAATGTGCGAATGGAGGTGGACTCCCTATTATCGCGGTATGTGGGAATTGTGGTTTTTATAATAATCTCAACTTTTTTTTTTCATAGTGAATGTTTTACCAAAACATCCCCTGAATAAAGTCTGATATTTTCCCTGTAACGTTCAAGTTGATTAAACTTGGACAGACTATATCCCTGCAGGATGATTTCTTAAAACCCTGCCCTTCCCCGAAAGGAGAAGAAAAATTACTGTGACAAGTCTACTGATTGGTGATTGGGGGCGCCATTGAGTTTACACGGTGTGCTGTTTTATTTTTTTATGCGCTGTCCTTATTTTGATCCCACGACTCCACGATCGATTTTCGGAGGTAGGTCGACTGCGGCAATCGATTTTCGGAGGTAGGTCGACTGCGGCTCCACGCCTCCACGCAGCCGTACGGAGGCGCGGATGTAGAGTAAAGTGGCCCTGCATTCTATAGTTGTACCCCTGAATCTTTTGGGAACCAGACTAAAAATAAATAAGATGTTTATTTTTTATCAGCCAATCAGCATCGAGCTTTCATCGCAGCGAGCTTTCACGTTTGCCATCTTGGTTTTTGAGTCTGTTTTCTGGTTGTCATCGTCGTCTTTTACCCCTGAATTTCCCTCATAAATCAAAGACAAAGCCCTGCCCTCTTTCCACAAAATTAAAAACCTGCTGATATTCAAGAAGGTGTCATTGCCAATTGTTCAGATGTGCCAAGAAGTCAATTTTGAGTGTCATTTAGTCAACTGTTTTGGTGAGTCTTTCCCTTCCTATATCATGTATATAGGAATGGGGTCCTAAAAGTAAGGATTACCGCGATATTAGGTAGGTTTCGATTGCGAACGGTTAGTGTGCACGACTACAATTAGCTACACGTCACGAACGTGTACGCAGTCGTTCCGACGCGACAAGCAGAAGGGTTTCGATTATGACCTCACGGTTACATTTAGGATAACTGTTGAGGGCGCACTCTTCAAGATGGCAGCGCCCATGAGACTACTTGATTTTGCACTTGAAGATGAAGATAACGATTTGATGTACCTCCTCTTGGCCAATGCACCGATACCAACGAGAGTCACATTCAATCCAGAGTGGCCCAGGTTTGATATAGTGACACTTACAAATAATCAGTGCTTGGATAAGTTCAGATTTTTGAAGGATGACATTTACCGGCTACGAGATTTACTTGGACTTCCTGAGAAACTAATTTTAAAGAACGGGTCCACTTGCAGTGGTCTTGATGCTCTTTGCATGGTACTCAGAAGATTTGCTTACCCAAATCGCCTTTCTGACTTGGAGGAGTTGTTCGGGAGGCCAAAATCCACACTTTCACTGGTTATCAATGAGACCGTTGAACTTTTGTATGATTTGCATCACCATCGATTTCTATCCCTTGATAATCCATGGCTAGATCGTGCACAGCTACAAATTTATGCGGATGTTATTCATGACAAAGGGGCACCTTTGCAGAATTGCTTTGGATTTATAGATGGGACAGTTCGCCCAATTTGTAGGCCAACTCATCATCAGCGAGTGTGCTATAATGGGCACAAAAGGATACATGCCCTAAAGTTCCAGTCAGTGGTATTACCTTGTGGATTGATTACACATCTGTACGGCCCAGTAGAGGGGCGAAGACATGACAGCGCTCTCCTTCGCATGAGTGGACTTCTACAAGAATTTGAGAGAAGAAATCTGACCGATAGAAATGGATTGCCATTTGCACTTTACGGGGATCCTGCGTATCCACTCAGACGTTATCTACAAGCTCCATTCAAAGGGGCAAACGTAACAGCTGAGGAGCAAGAATTCAACTCAAGAATGTCATCAGTGCGAGAATGTGTTGAGTGGGAATTTGGAAAGATGATCAAACTATTCGCCTTCCTTGACTTTCGAAAGAACTTGAAAGTACTATTATCCCCAGTTGCAAAGTACTACCTGGTCGGCGGGCTTCTCACTAACTGCCATACTTGTGTCTATGGAAATCAGACAAGTAATTACTTCCAGTTGGACCCACCCTCCTTGGAGAACTATTTATCATGATTTTATAATTTACATAGCCGTCTTTTCTATGAGTCCTGAATATGCAAGAATTTAGTGATTTTTATAACATTGGGCATTCTAGTTAGCCTACTACATAATTATCTTCAGGCAAACTTGAATCCTTGATTCTGATTGATAAATCCATGGCAACAACAGTATGATATTTATATAGAATTGGATGGCTTATCGCACTCTGCGTATTAATTGCGCTGTTCTAACTCCATCTGCCTGTCAAGTTTGCTTGAAGATAAATTCATTATCACGTGTGCTCGTGGAATATGGAAAAATAGTGCTATCTGCATCTCATTTCATATCCAAGGAGGCTGAAGGCAGAGTTGGATATGGGATGCAGAAGTACTAAGGTATATTTTCCCGTATTCCACTCTTGCTTGTGTGATAACTAATATTATATACCATACACACAGATCCTTGTCATTTGATTGGTGGGACACATGTCACGTGTCATTCCTTACTTTGCTATGTATTTATAACCATGACACGTCGCGGCGCGTAATATCGTTCCAAAACAACATTGGACAGGCCCGTCCAATATTAAAATAAGTATTGGACGCTTGTGGACATTGAACCCGTGTTTTCAGCGTCGTCTCCAAAATATTTGTTCCCAGCCCATTTGTCCAAATAAGACAAGGTCGTGCTGCAAGTGACAAGGTTGGTGTCCAGTGTGGAGTCGTTCAAGTTGTTTAGAGGGTGTTTGTAGAATTTTCCGAGTGTGGGTTGAACAAGTTTCCGTGTCTAGTTTGTGTCAGTATTGTGAAAAAATATCAAATGTGTGAGTGATATAAAACAAATATTGAATGTATTTTGTTCGTGCAATGTAGCAGAATATTATCGCTTAGTGAAATCTGGCTTTTCTATTTCACTCGCTGCGCCTCGTGATTCGTGAAATGGAATAGTCCAGCTTTCAACTCCTGATTAGAATCTGCGACGTTGCACTCATGTGCATCCAATATTTGTAGTGTTATGATACACAAGATACAAAGCGAAAAAGAAAAACATTATTATTATTATTATTATGGTTTATTAATAACATGTAAATGTTTAATAGTGGAAGGAAAGACAAAAATCACATAACAGGGATATATACCAAGCAAATTTTGGAAACCCAAAAAATATCAAACCTTCTTTACATTATGGCCTAGCCGGGAATCGAAAATGGGCCAACAGTGGTGAGAGGTGAACGGTTTACGCACTACACCACCCATGCCATCCAACATAATGTTCAAATTATATTTAAGGTCACGGGAAATTACCTGTTATGTCATCATTCCTGGTCTTCGTTGCAGATAGGGATTTCATCGCTACTTCTCGTATGATTACACCCTGCCTCTCTTTTTCAGCTTCTTCAGATTTTCTTTTTATCTGTGCCAACTTCCTTTCCTCATCAAAGTCAGCAAGTTCTGTTAGGAGTTGTATTCTTTCATTGTATTCCTCATCTGTACCAGAGCTGGAAAGGTAAATGTTTTAAGATTAGAACATTACCAGACACTCGGCTCGTATTCAATAGGGAAATCCTAGATTGTGCAAATTCTGCAGATTGCAAAGAACACCATCAGGGTCATTCTCAAGATTGAGCACTCGTATCTATAGAGTGCCCCTAAATTTGAATACTTTGTACAGGGAAAATGATGGATAGGAAGGTCTATTGTTATAAATTTTGTAACCATTTTTTAAAAAAATATTTGGATTCAAAAAAATGAAAAAGCTACTTACGCCCTAAGAGAGCTCATTTCTGCTCTTCTATGACAATCCTGAAGATGTCGGTATCTGTCTCTGCACGCCCTTAGTGTAACATAAATATGTTTGGCCTTGATGGCATCATTGATGTTCTTGTGGATTACTTCCCATGCTTCCTTTGAAAGTCCTTGGCCGTCTTCACTTGAAAGTGCCAATGCCTCCCTCAGGAGTACAATGTCCAGGCCAGGATAAAATCGAGCAGTCTTCATTGCAATTCTGAAAGAATTAAAACAAATAAACAAAATTAAAAAGAAAGTTATGTTTTTGGGAAAAGTTTTACAAAATTCTGGAAGACAAAACGTAGGCCTAACATTAGGTAGCCCTGCCTACCCTAGGCCTAGCCCTAGTCAATGGCCCGCACTGAGTAGACTCTACATTCTGGGCCATACAGATATTGTTTCCCAAAGTTGAGGATTTGAAAATAAAAAAGAACCAACAATTTTAGTGCAATCATTCCAACTAATACGCGAAGGGTGGGTTCACTTACCCGTACCTCTCAATATTCCCCCAAAATTAGGACTTTCCCGTGCTTCCTTCTGGTGAACTTGACTCTTAAAAAAAAAAATTGTCAACCCAGCATGTAGAGTCTACTCAGTGTGGGCCATAGACTAGGACTACCCTAGGCCTAGCACTAGCAGCAGCACTAGCTGAGGCATAGTTCTCACTCTTTCTTTTTCAATCAAATTTTAAAGATTTATTAGGCGAAGTAAAAAAAAAACCATGTTTCTCGTCTCAACCGCTTCCTTTTTGGAGGCCGCCTGGAATTTTTTGTTTGTTTTGGAAAATGCAGTAAAAAACACCAAAAAAGTCCACAAATTCATCGGAAAATAAATCCCAATAGCGGCCTACCAAAACAACTAAATGACACTGTCACTGTAAATATGTTCACTTAATTCTCTTGTCCAACTTGTCTTGCATTTCAAAAAGTGTCTTTGAACAGTGAAAACACCAACGGTTGCAAGAAATTTTAAAATGGCGGCCATCTTGAAAAAAAATTAAAAATAAAAAGCCCCTCTTCCTCCTTTTTTCAAAAACCCGGACGAGAAACATTTTTTTTTTCATTCGGCCTTAGCGTGCAACTTCTTGCATTTTGTCAATGTCAGCTCAGCGTCACTAGGTAAAAAAAATTAACACCCTGAACAAAAATGGCTGGGCCTTCTTAAGTGAAGTAAAAATCGTGTACTGTACTGTAGCCAAGCGCATAGGCCTGGGCTACGTGCACTCACTTAATGCTAAACAAGGCTGAACGTAACGAACGTTACAAGAAGAATTTATCCCTCCATTGCAAGACAAAAATTCACAACCAAAATACAGATAACACACATCATACCCAATCAAACATGAATGCTGACATTCTAAACTATAATGACTGATTCATTACTTGTGCTTTTCGCTTCAAATTTAGACAAAATTACTGACTTTTTACTATCCGTTTCCACTTACGTTTAGCAGAGCTGCTATTCGTGTTGACGACGATTTACAGACTGTACCGATAGTGTAAAAGTCATACTGCGCATGCACGCACAAAAAGTGATGACGTCAGAGCCACTAAAAGTCGTCGTTCCGCTAACCGTGCGTAATCGAAACCTCGCTGGTAACTAAAGTAAAGGGACTCCGACTATAGTTTTTTGGTAACAAATTTCCCTGCTAAATCCAATATTTTTGGACGTTTTAAACAGGAATGGTGGCATAAATCACTGAAGGGAAAATTGAGTAATGTCCAGATATGGGAATCTTTCCAGTACGCCGAAAGGAAGCTGAATTTTGACAAGTAGGCCCTAAATAGTCCAGACTTACCTGATGTACAGGCCTAGCCTACCGCTACATTATCCATAATGTTGATATCGGATAACCAAACAACAGGTGGCGCTCTTCACAATTAACGGCGTCATATACAATCTCGTTTACGTAGTGTTGAGCTGTACGCACTGACAAGTACTTAATACAGGAAAGAAAGTTACAAAATAAAGTTAACCCTGGGGACGAAGTTGCGAAAAAGTTTCGTAGTCCGAATTTTCCCATCATGCATGCGGAAGTGGGAATCGTTATTCGTTTTCCGTTTTGCTGTCGAGAATGGATTTTGGATTCGAAGTCCGTTATCCGTTTTTACCCCTCAGCCGAGAGGCTCGAGGGGTATTGTCATCGCCTAGGGCGTCCGTCCGTCCGGATGTATGTGTGTCTGTCCGTCCGTCCGTCCGTCCGGGCAGCTTAGTTTCCGGATGATAACTTGAGTTAGAAATGTTGTTTGGGGTTGTAACTTCGGTAGGGGGTTGCCCTTGGGAGTAGGCAAGTTGGGATTGGTTTTGAGGTCAAAAGGTCAAAGGTCAAGGTCACCGTGGTGAGTTAAATGTAAATGGTTTCCGGATGATAACTTGAGTTAGAAATGAGATTTTGGTGTCTAACTTTGGAAGAGGGTTGCCCTTGGGAGAAGGCAAGTTGGGATTGGTTTTGGGGTCAAAAGGTCAAAGGTCAAGGTCAGCATGGTGAGATAAAGGTAAATGGTTTCCGGATGATAACTTGAGTTAGAAATAAGATTTTGGTGTCTAACTTTGATAGGGGGTTGCCCTTGGGAGTAGGCAAGTTGGGATTGGTTTTGGGGTCAAAAGGTCAAAGGTCAAGGTCACCGTGGTGAGTTAAATGTAAATGGTTTCAGGATGATAACTTGAGTTAGAAATGAGATTTTGGTGTCTAACTTTGGTAGAGGGTTGCCCTTGGGAGTAGGCAAGTTGGGATTGGTTTTGGGGTCAAAAGGTCAAAGGTCAAGGTCACCATTGTGAATTAAAGGTAAATGGTTTCCGGTTGGTAACTTGAGTTAGAAATGCGATTTTGGTGTCTAACTTTGGAAGAGGGTTCCCCTTGGGAGAAGGGAAGTTGGGATTGGTTTTGGGGTCAAAAGGTCAAAGGTCAAGGTCACCATGGTGAGATGAAGGTAAATGGTTTCCGGATGATAACTTGACTCTGGCTGAGGGGTTTCAACAGCAACGCTGTTATTTTTCTTTTTGCTTAGGAAGTGGAATTGATTTCGTTATCCGTTGTTCTTTTTGCTTAGGAATTGGGAGAGTGGTTTTCGTTATCCGTTTTTCTTTTTGCTTAGGAATTGGGAAATGGTTTCGTTATCCGTTTTTATTTTTGTTTAGTTAATGCGGGGAATTAATGGGTTATGAGATTGTCACTGCACTTGACACCGTTAATTGTGAAGGGCGCCGCCTGTTGTTTGATGATATACCCCATTATTGTCCGAATAGCGCAGCAGACAACTGGATAACGTAAGAGTACCGCCCTAAGACAGTCTGGACTTTTTATTCACACTTTAAAGACAAACAAATATTGTGATCACCAAAAACCTGCTTTCTGACATTCATTCAAATTTTAGGCAGCTATTTTTGTGGTTTGAGCAACGCATTTTTTGGTACACGTATTTCTTTTATAAATATTTTGAAAGTCGTGTGAACATGGTGAATGAAAAGCATTGTCTAGAGGAAAGTGAAGTTTTTGACCAAATTTTATTAAAAAGGTAAGGTTGAGAATTTACCAATTGGAAATGGCTGAAAACTATTATCCTTAGATCTAATCATGTCAATTAGATATGTATTTTAACAATCCCCAATTAAACAAAGCGAAATAACGCGTTACCCTATCATGCCTATTGAATTTAACTTATGTTTCTTTAATGACTTGAAAAAAATAAAATGACTCGGAGTTAGAAAATATTAAAAGAATATACAAAAACTTGGCGATAGGCTTCCTGCAGTCCAAAAAGAATATTTGCCTCACTTTTGCACAGAAACGACAGTCCAGCTGGACACGCTATTAAGTGACACATTGAATTGAATTCTAGCATAACTAGTCATGAAAAATAGACAAACAAGACGTAGAGTGTAGTGACCCTGCATTCTAGAGTTGCGGCAATGCGGAGGTCCCAGGTTCTATTCCCTCTTCCTTTCAATTTGTGGATTGTTGTATTTCCCTGTACAGGCCACAGATTATTGCATTGACTGGTCGCCCTGGATGCAGGCCTGCCCTGGTTCACTTCGTCTCCCATATCACCAAGAGCACAAGCCTTCTCATATGCGGAGCAGTGCTGATCGTAAGTAATCTGCTATAGTCGCAATTTGTCTGTGATTTGACAAAAGCTTGTCCCTGTGAAGCATTATGATCAGAACTTAGAGGTGCAGATCATAAGTAATTTGCTACAGTTGTAATTTGTCTGTGATTGGACATTAGATTGTCCTTGTGAAGCATTATGATTACTTCGTCTCCCATATCACCAAGAGCACAGCCCTTCTCATATGCGGAGCCGTGTTGATCGTAAGTAATCTGCTATGGTCGCAAGTTGTCTGTGATTTGACAAAAGCTTGTCCTTGTGAAGCATTTGGTCAGAACCTAGCGGTGCAGATCATAAGTAACCTGCTACAGTTGCAAGTTGTCTGTGATTTGACATAAATGCCATAAAGAGTGGGTGATTTGTTGGCGAGAATGGAGAGACCGTACTTTCTTATCTTTGCACAATTCTCACTTGTTCTATTATTAATAAACGTTTGTCATTTTCCTTATCTTCCACGCATAAACGTAAAACCCTTCTTTCCATTTAATCCTTCAACCTCCTTCCTCATTCCCAATTTCAAAATCCTTTTTCCTCATTAACAAAGTAAACCCCCTAGCCTGCATTATAACTAATTCATCCTTTGTCACGATATTTAATCCTTGATGATCCTTCTATAAAAATAAAACAATTGGAAAAAACAACAATATATCCTCCTAGCCAAGATGGTTGTCCTCATTAATTCCTTTCAAAAAATATCCTCCAAGCCAAGATGGGTAGTCTCCTCCATAATTCCCTTCTAAAAAAATATCCTCCTAGCCAAGCTGGTTAGTCTTCTCCATAATTCCCTGCTAAAAATATCCTCCCAGCCAAGAAAGTTAGTCTCTTCCATAAATTCCCTCTAAAAATGTCCTTTTAGCCAAGATGGTTAGTCTTCTCCATAAATCCCTTCTAAAACAAATATCTTCCTAACCATGATGGTTCCTCTCCTCCATAATTCCCTTCTAAAAATATTCTCCTAGCCAAGATGGTTAGTCTCCTCTGTACTTCCTTCCTAAAAAAATATCCTGCAAGCCAATATGGTTAGTTTCCTCCTTAATACCCTTCTAAATGATACCCTTCCAAAAATATCCTCCTAGCCAAGATGGTTAGTCTCCTCCATAATTTCCTTCTAAAAAAAAACACCCTCCGAGCCAAGCTGGTTATAGTCTCCTCCATAGTTCCCTTCTAAAAAAAAAATATCCTCCTAGCCAAGATGGTTAGTCTCCTCCATAATAAAAATATCCTGAACTACCAATAATTATGGTCGTCTTCTCAGTAATTCGCTTAAAAAAAGTCTGAGTCTTGCGCGTAACTTTGTACACACCTGTCCCAAGTTCTTTCCACTGACTATCCCTATTGCCGAGTATGATATATGTCTATATCTTTTATAAATAGTCGTCATGCTCATTCAAAGGCATATTCATAGAAAGGTGGAAATCTCCTTGCTGCCACGGTGTCAGATTTAACGTTTGGTGTACCGTGAGGTATATCTAGGTTGTGTTAACTTCAGGTTTACTCTGATCTGAACGATAACCAAGTTAACGATCATTAAATAACAATTGACTGGTTTTTTTTCTTTTTCTGAAGGCTGGTACAAGGACAAGATTTTGCCCAAGATGGAGTTCTGTGCTGTTGGTTGGGTAAGATCAAGACCAACACAATCATCAAGGAGCTCTCCAAACCCTGGATGCTGGATGAGGAAGCAGGGGAGACCATGGAGAAGTTTCCTTGGAAGATCAGCAAGGAAGAAGTCACCACGCTCAAAGAAAAGGTAGAATCTCCTCCTTGGGATCAAGCCCCCCCCCCCCCCCCACAGTGAAAACTATAAACTTTATATTTATTTTTGTGCAAGTTGGTCAGTAGTGCAGAATGATTCACATGTTAACTAATGCATGCAAAATAGAGAAAAAAAGTAAATTTCAATGACTATCATCCCACCCTATATTTGTAGGCTATAGAAATGTCTAATCCCCCAAAACAGATTTTTACCTACCCTACCACACAGTTGTTTTTTTTATATGTAATAGAAAACACCACACTTTTTGTTCTTGGTTGGCGATATTATTTTAATATAATGTTTCAGTATCCAATTCATTTCATGGAGCCTTTCAGAGATCTCTCAGGTTATTCTGGATGGCTGCATGTCTAAGGAAACACATGCTTTATGTCAGAGAAATAATGCTCTGTACAATTTTTGTTTGTGAACCCCCCCCCCACCTCCGCCCAACACCTCCCCCCCCCCCCCCCCCCTCCCACCAAGGCTTGACCCTACTCATCCCTCACCTCATCTCCATGAAATCCAACTGGGAGAAATGCAAGCTGCGCTTCTTTGCCACCACGGGCAAGAAGGAGCAAATGGACAGGGAGAAGATGAACATGGCCAATATGCTCAGCAAGTTCCGCATCAACTGCTCGGACGTGGAGGTCATCCCGGACCTGAACAAGAAGCCCAAGGAGTAGAGCCTGAGACGGTTCAAGGAGCTGTCCAGACCCTGGATGCTGGATAAGGAAGCAGGGGAGACCACGGAGAAGTTTCCTTGGAAGATCAGCAAGAAAGTAGTCACTACGCTCAACGAGAAGGTAGAATCTCCTTCTTGCACTCAAGCCCCCCCCCCCCCCCACAGAGAAAACTATAAACGAGGGCCATTTGGGCGCC